TATATAAATGATAATTGATATTATATTATTAAGTATATAAGAAATAATATATTTCTTTTCCTTCTGTAATAGTTTGAATTCTATTTTGGGCTGCCAGCCCCACTGAAATCTTAAGAGCAATCCTCCCCTCATCCCCCTCAGTTATACCAGATTCTGGTGTCTGGCACATTGCCAAGTTGTCAGGTATTGGCATCTTGTGCAGATGATCAGGCAGTGCAGCTTGCTGCTGAGACAATCACCATCCTAGTTGGCATGTGTGGTAGTCACTTCCAGGAGAGCCCCCAGTGATCCTTACCTCCCGATTTTCATGCCCTCGTGTAGCCTCCTCCCACATCATACCAGTATTGGTCTGTGTGACAAATAGAATTCAGGGGAAGCGATGTGTGGTTTCTGAGACTAGATCAAAATGAGATAGTGTCACCTCTGACTTGCTCTCTGGGATGTCTCACTCTGGGGATCTGAGGCCTCCTGCCAAGAGCCATCACCAAGTTGCCAGCCACGTAAATGAGCCATCTTTGAAGTGGACGTTCTAGCCCCAGTCAAGCCTTCAGATGACTGGAGCCATGGCTGGCATTTTGACTACAACCTCCTGAGAGACCCTGAGCCAGAATCACCCAGCTAAGTCACTCCTGAAATCCTTACCCACAGAAACTATGTGAGATACTATTTGTTTTTATTTTACCCCTTGAGTTTCAGAGTGGTAACTTTGTTATACAGCAATACTTAACTAATAGAGCATGGCTTGTTCAAATCTAAACGTTGTCTTTTGCTTACATGACACTCTAGGAACACAGGAATTCTCCTGCTGTTTCATGAGGCACTTGGAGTATGGAAATTATTGAGGAGTTGTCTATAGTGCTGTTTACCCCAATGCACTATGTAATTATTCCTTCACTGGAATTGGACCTTCCTAGTCCTAGGGAAGCAAGGCCTGAGTTCCCTCTTTTCTCAGGAAGATAGACCTGTTTGCAGACCTCCCATCCTCGTCTCCAGCCTGGGGGTCTTTTGTTTCTGTCTTAGGGAAATCCTTCTTCACCTTTATGGTCATAATATTTTGTTCTTCAATCTTTTCACCATCTCCACGACTTTTAGAAATAAAAGCCAGAAAACTTGCTAGCTTGTCTGTTTTCTACTATGTTATAATCCCTTCTGTCAGACAGTGAACACATGGCTATCTCTTTGAATTTGGGGCAGAAGAGAAGGGAAGAAGAAAATGGAGGGAAGAAGAATCGTAGTTAAATATCTCAAAATATTATCCTACTACAGTTATTAATGTTTGAGTGCTTACTTTGTGCCAGATGCTCTACTGAGTGCTTGAAATATTTTATCTTACTGAATCCCTACAATAACCTATGAAGAAAGTACCATTATAATGCTCATTTTACAAACAAGGAGTTCAGGTTTAGAGATTAAATAACTCGCCTGAGTTCTCAAAGCTTATAGGTGGCAAAGCTGAGATGCTACAAGGAATCTGCCTTTGGCCATTATCATATAGTTTCTTTCCTTGTGGTAACAAGGGGAGAGGGTGGATCTAAGGACACTCCCACTTGGCTTCATTTGTTCCCATAAATGAGTATGTCAATCATAGCTAAGATTTATCTGTTCATTAAAATTTTTCTGACAGCAGCTTCCACCAGGCAGCACTTTGTAGACAGGCTGACCTACTCTCTATAGTTGAAATTTTTAAAACTCCAGTTCTAAAATACCGACTAACTCAGATGTTTCATTTAGTTAAGCAGGCCATATGGTTGAGAATAATTGAAGAGCAGGATAGATGCTTGTAGGGGCCAGATAACAAAGGCATTTTTTGTACCATTCTAACCATTTTATACCATTCTGAGGTTAAAAGGAATAAAAATCTTTTTCACAGGTGGGATCTTGGCCACAGATATGCTTTGTTTGACATACTTTTTTTGTTTTTTGTTTGAATTTGAATGCCTTTAAAAGTAGACATACATCCTCCAGTCCCCTGTCTCCTCAGACCCACTTCTCCATATTATATTTGACCTGGCTAATCATTTATTTAGGAGCTTATCTGCTCCTGAAGACATTTGAGTTTACTTCTTTTGCTGTGGGGAGTCACCAAAGAATCTTTTGGGGCAGAGATGACATGAATGCATTTGTTCTTTTAGAGACGACCATTCAGCTTACTGTGGAGGATGAATGGTCAGGCTACCTGGAAAGGGTGAAAAGCAGTGCAAAATTCAGAGACTTACTGAATGAGGAGGCTGAGGAAGAGGGAAGAGTCATGATTGCCAGGTTCCACTGGATGAATGGTGGTGCCATTTACCCCAAATGGAGAAAATAAGTGTTACCCTATCCATTATATAAAGTTATTAAATTCCCTGGGAAGTATTGTGGAGAGCTTGCTAAGAGTTCACTTAATGGATATCAGGAATACAGAGATGAAATTCACCAGCAGACTTTTCAGAAAAAGTGTCTTAAGTGTGCTTAAAAATATCACATATTTATGTCACAGATAAGAATACATGTAGATCGTGTTGGAATGTACTGATGGTAACAGTGAGACATAATGTTTAAAATGGGAACTGTTCTGGAAAACCTGGGGCATAGGGTCACTGGAAATAAAAGTAACTTTGTTGTTTCATTTGGGATCCCTTTAATCAAAGGTCTCTCCGAATAATAATATTGTCTTTAGAACATGTACCTGTTTAAGTGAACATTTCTCAGATAGAGCAAGTCAATTTACAGCTATTTTCTTACTTTCAGCATAAATAATAATTTAAAACTCCTCCCTACCATACTTTTCCCAAAGTTATTAATGGGATGCTCCGTCAGCTGACTTGAGTTTTCTTTTCCCCAACTCACATTCACTGGAGGTATTAATGGGAAATAGAATGTCTAAAAGACAGGAAGCAGGAGAGACATAGGTAGTCTTCAGAGTGAATACTCAGGTAATGAATAATCGTAAATCCACAAGAATCTGTTCTGTAATCTGCAAAGTATCTGCACACTCAAAATGCAAAGTATAAGAAGGAAAACCACATTGTAGCAATGTCTTCCTGTTATTCTATACATATCAGTATATTATAATTTTATAATTACTGTTAAACCTGATTTTATATTAGAAATAATGTCGCAAACTTTTTCAAAACTTTAAAAACACAATTAACCTTGCAAAAATACTGAGTGAGATACTATGTAGAAGGCAAAGATGTGTAAGACATGATTTCTTCCAGAAGTTTAATACTAACAGAGGAAATAACACATTCATGAAAAAGACGGTAGCATAAGCTAGTATATAGTGTAAAACAAAGTTCTAGCAATAAGTGTACACTTGTACAAATAATATTACAAAGAGTAAAAATGATAAGGAAGTCATATATTTTTTCAACTGAAGAGGCCAAAACACTATTTGTTAATAAAACAGACTCAGGCTATTTATAATGAATACATGATAATACTCAAAGATAACTTTAGAACTAGTCAATGCAATAATATGCTCATGATATTTAGAGTAATGACAATGAAAGATAGTCTCATTTTTTGATAATCAAATATTTTATTACTAAATCTTAAGATTAAAAAGTAGTTAATTCATAAGAAAGTCAAATATTGCTGACATTAAAGTTTTATGAATTATGGAAAATGTATTTTAAAGATATAAATAAGTCATTGTTTTCAGCATCACAGATTTTACTGTAACATATTCTTTCTTATTCTAAAAGTAATACATGTACATGCAGAAGAGTTAGAAAAAACAAATAAGGCAAAAAATAGTAATGAGTTTTAATATTATAATGTAAATATATTGACTAGCAATGGTAGACTAAGTTACTTGGACCAATCTGCCTGCTAAATGTAACTAAAAATGCTAGAAAAAAAATGTAAAGAAATAGTTTAAAAGTACTGATGATATAGGAAAACTTTAACACAGATTACAAAGCGTAAAAACTGTTTGCTAAAAACATATGCTGATCCCTAGCAAATTTCAGCGTGGCCTTGTGGGGACAAGGGCACAGAAATCAAAGCTCTTGGTCCATAGAGCAAGTTCAGTAGGCAATATGGACTCACACAGTAAGTTGGAACTCCAAAAGCATACACTTTTGCAACACTGGTAAAATGGAGATAAACCAGTACTTGGTACATCAGCTTGGGAGACTCAAGTCCTAGTATTTCAGCTTATAACAATACAGATTTATAATGTTCTTTCATTTGTACAAAGGTAGTTAGTTCTGGCACTAAATCAGTTCTCTGACATGTCAATCTATCCAACTTAAGGAAATGAAAACAACCTTAAACAAATACACTGAAAAGATAATTAACCATTAGATCCCTTATCAGTTAGGAATAACTTCTGCTGTGAGTAAAAGACCCCCAAAAACAATGTACATTGAAGAATGGGTAGGAGTCTGCTAACATAATACAAGTTTTAAGGGAATAGTAATAAACGAATGGGTTTTTCTGCACTGGGTATAATAAAGGTCATCATTTGTGGTGGGAAAACATGCCACCAATATGGTGAGGTTTTAAATTAGTGAGGAAGACAGTTGGTACTAGTTGTCAAGATTTTCCTGTTGAGACATTACTTTTGATGTCCTGTAGCCAGCTTTTTGTGCTTCTGTTTGCTATGGGCAAACTTATTAGAAGTTTTTTTAAAAATCAGAAAAACAAATATTCCTGGGTTCATTGCTTAAACAAAAGAAAAAAGTCATTGTAATACACTAACTTCACAAGATGTTTCTTTAAAGGTGCTTGTTAAAGTTCCTTCCAAGAAAGGATCCCATGGTCTGATGGAGGTATTCCTCGCCTTCTTTTTTTCTTTTTTTCTTTCTTTTTTTTTTTGAATGATCTGATTTCTTTAATTTATAACAATGTTAGATGCAATTTTCTTGTACCTCAAATATTACCCATTAAAGTGCGACTAGCTGTCAGGCTTTGGGTTTCTTGTAAAATGGGAGGTCGTTCCCATCCTCACTTTGGTCCTCTGACTTCACATGATTCAGTATTTTATTAGTTTAAAAAGAAATGAGGTTCAAGTTTAGTTTAAGCACAGTTAATTGTTAAGCAGTTTCTTCCTTTCTGAACACACATTGCTATTCCCATCCCACCCCCAATGCACAGGGCAGTAACCCCACCACGTCCACCTTTGTGCTCTATTGTGTGTAACAGGATGACAAGAATCTGGCAACTATATGCTGCAAGAGGATGGCCCAAGGCTATAGCCCCTCCTTCAGTGTTGACCTTCTCTGGATTTAATCCAAGTTCTTTAGTTATTGCAACAGAGAGGGCTGCAAAGGCTTCATTGATTTCAAATACATCAACATCCTCCAGTGACCAACCTGCTTTTGCAACAGCTTGCTTTATTGCTGGAATTGGTCCTATTCCCATAATGGAAGGTTCCACACCTGCTTGTAACCAGGAAACTATCTGGGCTAAAGGTGTAATGCCACGATTAGCAGCTTCTGACTTCTTCATGAGAACCACAGATGCGGCACCATCATTCATTCCTGAAGCATTAGCTGGGGTGACTGTTCCCGTTCCATCTGTAAGAAAATAAGGCTTTAGCTTAGACTTAGCTTCTGTGTTGCTCCCATGGTGGTTATTCCTCACCTTCTGATTTCTTGCAGAACAAAATAAGGCAGGAGTAATGACAATGTAGGAAGAAAATATTGTCTCTTCTTGTACAGTGTTGATCTACCACTAAATGCAATGGTTGATGATTGATTTCTGTAGCTTTATGAATAGTAATAATAATTGCTGACAAATTTTTATCCTTCATATACATTATTTCACTTGAGCCTCCAAACAACTATATGAATGTTATCATTCATTTTAATTTTAGAGATGCACAAAGTTACACAGCATATAATTAGCAGAGTTGACATTTGAACACAGGCAATTATAATTTAGTATCTGGACTCTTAACCACAAGTCTATGATACCTCCAATTATAAAATATAGAAAATAATGTATCAGTATAGTATTTGAAAATAAGTGAAAACTTGAGTAAATATGGTGTTTGAGGACAACAAAAAAAAAATCAAAATCGACTGTTTGAACAGCCACTGTTTGCCAGGCACTGTACTCAGTGGTTTACTTGTATTACCTCATTTAATCCATATATGAAGTAGGCATTATTTTTCATTCTCATACTGTAGAAGAGGAAACTGAGGTTCAAGAGCTTAGATAACATATACAAGGTAACCTCAGGTCTATCTGACAGCAAAGTTCATACACTTAATTACCATGAAGTATTGCCTGTATATTCATGGTTATGTTTCAACACAGTGAAAGATGTCTTCTATTTTAGGTAAGAATGATCTAGTTTAAGCCAACTTGTAGTTTTCTACATTTTTAATTTTATTCAAAACGTATTTTCAGTTGCAGATCAGATTCATTATGTTGTCCACAGATGTTACTTAGAAAATGGAGAATCATTTTAGTATTGGAATAAGATACAATAAAAACAATTATTATATTTGCTTAAAAATTATTACATACAATATTTTAAAACTATAAATGACTTTTGAATTATATACTTGTTTGGATAATTCAATAAGCTGCTCCTTTCTGTTATTGAATATGTAAAATTCATAGTATCTTTAAAGTCCAGAATTTATTATCTTAATTGCAACCACAAGTCACAGTTGATAACATGATCCACTAATTAGCATTTTCCTTACCTGAGTTTTGAATGTCACAAAATAACAGAATCATAGAATCTGAAGGCTGGATTATGTAACTTTTTAACTCTTCACTTTACAGATGAGGAGAATGAGGCCTCAAGAGATTAAAATGACTTGCCCAATAGGACAAAATAAGTTGTGCCAGGAAATGGCTGGAGGCCTCTCTACTGCCCACCCTCACCCTGTAGCCATCTTAAATAAACAAACTAAAAAGAAAGATGCTTACTATGTTATGAAACTTGAAGACCCTAAAATCTATTAGAATTTCTCCAAGTCACCTCTAATTTATTTAGATAAGAACAGTGTGTTTGTTCCACAATCATAGCACCAAATTGCTGCCCTTATGCCTCTCTCTCCTGTATAATCTCTTCTGAACTAATCACTATGTTATAGCTACGGTTCCTCCAACTTTAAGTACAATTTCTTTCCTTACAGTGTTGTAACTGAGTCCTCTCATAACATATTTGTAATACTGCTTATATTGTGCTTATTCTGGCCAGGGGCTTTGTTAAGTGCTTTGCATATGTTGACTTCTTTGATCTTCCCAGGGACCCTATGAGGTCAGTACAACTATTATCATCCACATTTTATAGATGGCAACACGGAGGCACAGAGAAGTCACAAAGAAGCCAGTATCATACAAGTTGTAAATGGCAAAGTCTAGGCAGTCTGGGTCCACATACAGTGCTCTTAACCACTATACAAATACCTCTTACAATGTAACATTCATAGGTCTTTCCAGAAAATTTTTAAACATCTGTCCTCAGAATTTCTTGCATTACATATATCCCCTTGGTTCATAATTAACTCATTTGTTTTAGGCAAAAGAATTCTTTGTTAGAGCGTTTAGCCTCCTTGGGTTATACCAGTGATCATTCACCTTCTACTTAAATTTCCAATTACCAAAATAGCTGAAGTAAATACACTCACTTAAAAATAATTTAAATAATGTAAAATACATAAAGAGTGAAAATTTCTCTTAACTTCCTCTCTAATTCTGTTTTAATTTGATTTTTCAATATACTTTTCAATCTATTTTCAGATCTATATATAAATGTTTATATATATGCACATATATGTATCTGTATATATGCACACATGTATATATGTGCACACATTTGTGTATGTATAAATATATGATACTCATATGGTTTTTAATTTTTTTCAATGTATATAAATCTACATCTTAAAATTTTAATTTAATCAATATAATACCTGCATGTCATCTTAACATAAATTAAACAGTGGGGTTTTTTAAATAGTTACCTCCAAAATCACTCAACATGCATATAATGCTGTTTCTCTTTTTAAAATCTTTTTAAATTTGCATTCTTTTTTTATTGAACTATAGTCAGTTTACAATGTTGCATCAGTTTCTTGTGCAAAGTATAATGCTGTTTCTTTATCAGTTTAAGATTTTGTGTTAGTTTTCTATTGCTGTGTGACAAATTACCCCAAAACTTAGTGGCTTAAGACAATAAATGTTTATTATCTAACAGTTTCTGTCGGTTAGGACTTGAAAAGTAGCTTAACTAGGTGATTCTGGCTCAGGGTCTCATGAAATTGTAGATAAGCTCTCAGCCTGGCCTGCTGTCATCTGAAGGCTTGATTGTGGGTTGGAGACCCAAGATGGCTCATAAGTTGCATCAGTTATCTTTTCTTTATCTTCACTAGAAATCTGTTAAGATGTGTTGCCTCTACTTCTGTTACTCTGTTGTCTCTGGCATTGTGGGTTTATATGGTGCTTTATTCTTTTGCTGTCATTTAAATGAGATTTTAATGTAATGAATTCATTGTCTTTAACTGGAACACTACCTAATGCCATTTAAAGGCTGCACAGTATTGCACAATATAGATGTACAGTAACTTATTTAACTATACTCTCTTTGAAAGACATGTAGATCTTTTCTTTTTTGGTGAAAATCCTTATTTATAGAAAATCCTTATCTTTGAATAAATGTTAAAGTGTTTCTAAAGGATAGATTTATGTAACTTGTTATGTTAAAGGATATGTGTTTTTTTTTTAATTTTAAAGATGCTACTGAATTGCCTACCACAAAGCCGTATCAGTTCACCTTGAAATGTACTTTTGATCATAGCTGTTCATGCATAAACATCTAAACATCCCAGGAGTGAACAAGAATTCCTCCATGTTATATTCCTGTTCATGAAAGAGCAGGAGAAAAAGAAAAATACGTATATTTCAACTGCATAATGACAGTTTCATCTTTAGCTAATAAACAGGAAGTAGAACCAAGATAAAAACATGACTTCCTCCGTTTTCAATGAGAAAAGCCTAACAAACACCCTACCACCCCCGAAATTAAGCAACTAAATAAATAGGCTGCCACTTATATATAGCAACATTCATAAGTAAAATTAAGATTGACATTTTAACCAAATGAAAGCCAGCCCAATCTAAAGTGGAATCACTGTATGTAAGGACATATGCCACTGAGGTCACCTTAATTGATACAGTAACTGTCTGCCTGCATAGTTGTGCGTAAAATGATTTTTTAAAGTGGAACAATATATTATTTACCAAGAGAGCTCAATTCTGAATGAACTCTATGACAAATCAATATATTTTTTTCATTCTACAAACATCCATTTTCTTTTTTTTAACTGTTTTTTTTAAATTGAAGTACATTTGATTTATAGTGTGATATTAGTTTCTGGGGAACAGCATAGTGATTCAGTTATATACATATGTTCTTTTTCATCAGATGTTATTACAAGCTATTGAATATACTTCTCTGTGCTAAACAGTAGGGCCTTTTTGTTTATCTGTTTTATATATAGTGGTTTGTATCCGCTAATCCCAAACTCCTAATTCACCCCTCCCTCCAAACCTTTCCAAACCTTTGGTAACCATAAGTTTGTAAACATCCATTTTCTCATATGAATTCCATATGTGATCTCATAATTAGAACAGTTGGAGCCTTTAATTTAAAAATTAGCTGATTTGCTTTAAACAAAATTCTAATAAACCATGATTTTTCTGTTCTTGCTCACTGGCAACGATTGTTAGACACCTCTTGTGGCCCAATTAGGAACTCTCCACAGTATCTACCACAGCCAAGGGCTTCAGAAAAATTCACTTTCTCACAAAAACATGGATTTTTCTATTAGTTTCTATAGCAGTATCCTTGTCCCTATGTCTGTTAGCTTTTTGTATCTCTAAGCGTGATCTTCCTGTCCCTGGTGGTACCGGAAGAACTGACTTGCAGTAGTATCTCTGAAGGCAAAAGTCGAATGTTTCCAAATGCCATTGTTCTTATAATAAACAGGATTGTAAGTTCTTGGAAGGTAGGACTTCTTCTTTGGTCTACGGTTCCTCATTAGCAGCTAGTTTTCTCTGTGAATACTTAGAAATAAGAATTCAGTGAAATAAAAGTGAGCTGGCATTTATTCAGAATTTGAAAACCACTTGAAAATGAATTCACTTCTCTAAATTGTGATCTCAGCAGCTTGCTCTTATTACATGTGGGATGTGGGTCGTTTGAAGTTCTGTCAGTTCAAGTCAGGGTCACGTCTCCTCATTTCAGGACCTTGGCTTAAGGAGCGTTGCCATTCTGGGACATACCTTTTCATGGCAGATAAAGATGGCTGGTGGAGACTCACCATGTCTTGTAAAGCTTCTGCTTAGACATTATGTATATCATATCTGCTCACATTCCAGGGGCTGAACCTGCCGTCTGTGGTGGGGATACATAATCCTCTTTCAGGAAGCTGTACTTCGGGATAATCACTGCAGTCTACAGTAGAAGGTGAGTGTGTATGTTATGTTGTGGGGGTGATGAAAAGATGAAAAGAAAGGAAGTGCCATAAGTGAGATCTTACTCTTCCAATGGGATAGGAAAAGTGCTTATAAATAATTAGGTATCTGTGCAGGAGAGTAGATGATTTTCCTGTACTGATGTTGTAAAAGAAAGAGCCAGATTACAGTGGAGTAAGTCTGCAATCAGATCACACACTAGGCTGCTGGTGGACACGGGGTTCCTTTTGAGGGTGATAAAAGTGTTCTAAAATTAGATAGTGGTGATAGTTGAACAACTCTGAAAATTCTAAAAGCCACTGAAGGGTATGCTTTGAAACGGTGGATTTTATGGTATGTGTTTTCAATGCAACTGTAAAAAAAAAAAAACGGTTGCATATTAGAACTGCAAACTAATGCCTTCTGTAATTTGAGAAACTTTATATTTTTCTTGAGTAATGTTAAAAACATATTCAAAGAGACAGGTGATATTTTTAAAACTTAGTTTTACTACATTTTAGATAAAGGTAATAGTACCTATGAAGTTGTTAAGCTTTTTATTATGGAAAACTTGAAACATATATAATAATAATAATAGTATAAAATCCATATATCCCCAGCTTCAACAAAAATTGACCAATTTTGTTTTCTATTTTAATTCCCAAGTACCATATTTTTTCTGTAAATATCTAGTAATTTGTCTGAAAGGTAAGGACTCCACCATTTAAACATAATTACAAAATCATTACACTTCCAAAAAAAATAGTAACTTTTTAGTATCATAAAATATCCAGTCAGTATTATTTTTCTTGTATCTACAAGTAATACTTTCGACTTGAAAGAAAATCTAGTACTGTGAATTGTTATAAAACAATTAACAGTATTCAGAGCAAGAAAATAATATTCCTGTTAAAATACATCTAACCTATATTCCATAATGTATTAAGTATTTGAAAAGGAACTTCTTTTTGCCACTGTGATGATGTATCTATACCCTGATATCTAAATATTTGTGTGAATCTATGTATTTGAGTGCATGTATGTGTGTATGTGTCTACAGGTGGTGACTTTTGAGAAGAGGGTTTGGAGGTGAGGAGGGAGCTTTTTAACTTATTATTCTCTGTACTATTTGAATTCTTTAACTGTGGCTATTTATTTTCTTTAAAAACTAATATCAAAAGGAGTTCTCTAGGTATTCCATTTTTGCTATCTTCTTTCTATTTCTCGATTAAAATATATTGGGGGAGGGTGTAGCTCAGTGGAAAAGTGCGTGCTTAACATGCACGAGGTCCTGGTTCAATCCCCAGTCCCTCCATTAAATAAAAATTAATTTAAAAAAACCTAATCACGTCCCCCATGAAAAAGAATTAAAAAAAAAAAAAGAAGCCAATGGCAAAAAAAAAGAAGTCTATAAAAATAAAATAAAATACATTACGTGTTACCTGTTAAATAAAGTGAGAGGGAAGGCTGAGGCAAAGGACAGGAGTAAGTATAAGATGCAGCCAAGAGTACACACACACTTTGGAGCCCTAAACAGCTGCCAAGAATGGGCTGCAAGTTTGTCTTTAGACTTTCTAGCAATCAGTGCAATGGGAATAAGCTTGTGAGGTACACAGAATACCATATTTAGGAGAAGAAAGCAAACTTATTGCTCAGGATGAGCATAACTAGTTCTCCTGAGAAAACCAGAAGAAAATCTCCGTAATGGTCCTCACAGAAGATTCCGCTTTGTAAAGAACATGAAATTCACCTTCTTACTACAGCTGGATACAGAGTTTCTGAGGCTGTTTCATAGCATCCCCAAATATAGGCTGATGACAACCATTGAAGTGAAACAGTAAAAGCAATACTGACACTAGAATGGCAGTAGCAATCCAATCCTGGCATGCGGTTCTCTGCTGGCCTCTCTGATTTTAGAATATCTGTAGCCATAGCAAATGTAGAGATGTAGGGACTGGGACCACCTGGAGAGCCCCTGACCCAAGTAAAGGGAGCAACTGCCATGTCCCAAACTCCAACAGATGTTGCCATGTGGGGACACTAAGGACAGTGTTGCCACCATCTATATTTGAAATCTCATGGTTTTCCAATGGTGGCTCAAATTTTTAAAAATACATTGTGGGCCAAGCAAAATATCTCTGTGGGTTATATCAATTTTAGTTTGTGACTGCTTATCTTGAGGAATGGATTGAGTTCATATCCTTCAGATAATCTCCCATAAATATGCTTCTCTCAGCACATATATTTGTTCCAGTTGTTTTCTAGGTTGGAGGTATGACTGACTTCCTTTTTCAAGAATAGAGTTGCTTAAATGACATGGGTTCCTGAATAGAAGGCCAAAAAGGAAGGGAAGGTAATTCATCCCTTCTCAATTTTCATGCAATGATCAAATGATCAGCATAACATTCATTTTAGAGCTGGCTTTCTTCCCTGATATACTTGGAACCAACCCAAAAGAGTCCTAACTTACTAAACAGAGGTCAAAAATGATCTGGTGACAGCACCCAGAGGGCACTTCCTCCTCATTTTTGCTCTTGCATTTGTACTTCCCACCACTGACATTAATGCTTCCTGTTCTCCTACCCAAATATAGCCAAGTCCGAGTTCATAGATGATGGTGACTGGAAGAAGGTTTGACCCCTAACTTTATTAGAACCAAAGAGTACTACTGAAATGTCTTTATATGGTGATGGGTGTCCAGTTCTTACACAGCAGCTTCCACAGCTAAGCCCTTCTGATGCGTGCATATCACTAAGGCTGAGTCAAGGAGAATACAGTCATCTTCATTAGGGTCTTCTCAAGGACAAGTACAAAATTTACATAGTTCCTGGACTGGCAAGGTTCGTATTTCAAGATGACCTCAAATATTCAGCTAATCAAAGTCAAAGGGGATAAAAACTTCAGAAACCACAGCCAGAAATACATCAGACTTACTTCTTTTTGGACTATAAATCCAGGGAACGATTGAGATTCTTTAAGTGTAAATATAAGGCCATAAGCTTATAGAATTAAAGGAAGTTTTCAGAGTATATGGAGTGCATGGCGTTGTACTTATAGCATACATATTTCTATTTGCAGCTGCTGGACATATTTGGAGGTAACCATATATACTACCACTATAGTATGTCAGTAGATTACATCTAAATAAACACACATCCATAGCATTTGTGTCTTGTGACAAAGTATTGTTTACCAGGAGTCAAATTTAAGCTTTAATATTATGTACTCAGATGCATTAGCTTTAATTACAGTAACAGTTAAATTAAGAAAAAATTTTCTTATTAAATTTGACAATGTAAAATTATTTATCTGTACTCTTTAAAAAAAAGATTTGAATTAGCTTATAATGAAATACAGAGGCATTTTTAAAAGAGAGAGAGAAAGAACAAAAGCCAGTTTATGAACAGGGCTATGGGAGTGGAAGGGATGTGTACAGATGGTGACTAATTAACCTGAAACCTTAAGAATGACTAGATGTTAAAACTGGGTAGAAAACTTAACTCTAGACTCCTTGATTAAAAGGGAAATAAAAGTTGTGTAGTCTTACTAACCACTAAAATGAAACATTACTGGTTGCTTAGAAGGAAAATATATTGCCTAGCATTGAACTCAAAGAAAAATTTACCACGCAGATCTTGTTATGAAGGACATTGGATGAACAAAAGTGTTGTCAAATTGCAATTTTATGAAAGATGCCAAACTATTCTTCACATGGTCTTTTCAAGATAGGCTTTTGGCAGAAGTTCAAGGACATAATGTTAAGTAGATGTCTATGAAAGCTGAAGAAATGTAGATTAAGTTTGTAATCTGGCGCCATGGTAACATGAACAAGGATAGACTAAATAATTGCTATGCCTCTTAGAGTGTCCACTTAGCAAACGATGAAAGAAATATTGAAGACAACACTTTGTAAGACTCACAGACCTTCTGAGAGCTTTTGTTTTCATTAATCCAGAAGGATATTTATTGATATCATGATGTATATGCTAGTTCTGCATATGCCCTAGAAATGTTCACGAATATCTCATCTTTAGATGGTCCTTAAGTATTTATATGTGATTCACATACCCACCTGGTTCTAAGGAAAAATTATGCTTATTGTCAATTCATTCATATATATATAAAATTCTGTTTTCAACTACTGTTTTTATAAGATCTATAGATAGTTAGACTTTTACCTATATCACAGTGAGGATATACAGTTAAAAAGAAAAAAAAGAAAACTTCTGTAAAAATATCCTATGGGTCTAATTTGGGCAAAACATTTAAAATAGTTAATAAGACAAACAGTTAAAACAATGGGCAAAGGATCAAAAATACACAGAAAAATTTCCAGACTTCCATAAACTTTTATCTGGTTATTTGACCTGGCCATTTGTATTTCTAATAAAAGCAAATGTTTCTGGTCACATTCACATGCATTTATTTTGAGCCTTGTCTTTGGGTACACAACTAATACATAGGCCAGATGATTTGGATCATAATGGGTGATAATAGATAAAAGAGAAAATGTTGAAATGCAAAGCCTGTATCAAACTCCAAAGTGTGAAACTTAACAGCTTTCTCAACTTCTGCCCTTTGTTTTCATGGGAAATTGTGTGTGACATTAGTTTGAAATGGGTGAGGGGTCTCTCCAAAGACAGCAGAAAGGATGGGATTAACTTTCTGAGGCTCTCCTATGAGAAACATTGTGAGGCATTATGTTAGGAATTTTTTATAGATATTATAAGGTTTCAAGTCCTGTTCATGTCATCTCGTATATGAGGGAGCAGACTTGGATTAAGTAACTTGACCAAAAAAGTGTACCAAGTGAGCATTGTGATGATGGCAGTAACACAAGGAAGCTGGTTCCAAAGGGGTTTAGGCAACCTG